CTTTGACTGTGAGCGTCTGAAGGAAGTCCCTTTTAACGGCGATGAGTGTGCGAACGAACGAACGTTCTGCCGGCCATGCCGAGAAAAAATTTCCAAAGGTGATTGTCGCAGAGCTGTCGCTTTATTTTTTTTCATCTACTGGTGGGAATACTTGTGGTGTATTTTATGTCTTGTGGAATTTCTGCGTCCCTAATTTCCTTTCGGACAGCGAGGTCAATTTTTTCAAGAGTTGACGTCTGACTGCACCTTTTTCATCTGGAGTACAGAAGCAGGAAATAACCGAGGTCAGACATTATTTTCACTTGGAGAAGTCTGCCTACAACGTCCGGGCAGGCTGCCCGATCGTTCAATGGGTATGGCGGTTAAATTCGAACCAACAATTCGCGGATTCGAGCCTCAGGGACTGCAAAGGCTGGATTTGAATTCGGCTGGCTGGTGACGGTTGTTAAACCGGAAAAGGTAATTCCAGTCTCCCTTAGCTTCGTCGCTAACGCCTAGAAGGTCTTAAAAGGGTGAAAATTAGCGAATTAAAACGTCACTTGAAGTGTTCTAGGATCAGCGATTGATCTTTAACAGAAAATACTTGTGTTGTCTCAGCCAAGTAATGGAGCGATTTGACACCTGGTTGGGGATTGCAGAATAGCTTTATGGCGATAAATAGGTCATTAACTTTGTCATCATCTGCATTTCACTGATAGCACAACACAATTGCCGTCCGTACCGCGAGAATTTTGTCTTGCTTGTGACGATTATGCTGTTTGTGAAAATCCACTAAAGCAAGTATTGGACTTTTCCCTCGCGTTCTACTAAGTAGTCCTGATTTTTTTCGGCAAGCAGGGCGCGTAGGGCGTTCGATGACAACGGTTCAAATGGTATCGCGCTATCTGCCCTCTGTGTTCTCAGCGTCTGGGGCCCACAGGAGTTGTCATATGTGGTGAAATATTAAACGAAATTCTGTACTATTTTCGATTAAAAATGATTACTTGAAGTGTCTATCCTAGTAACATCGTTTCCAACTATTGATTGGTGCTCTTTCTGCAGTATAACAACAATGGGTCCACACCCACTGCGACATTTTATCAACCTTACATGGTGTCTTGGTACCAGCATAGAGGAAGGTACGATTACCCTTCCATGAAAACTCTATACGCAAGTAGAACTGCGGGTTAGGTTGAAAATTATTCGGCAATTTAAAAAATGGTAGAACCGAAAATATTCTTTCCTATATTATAATATTTAATGGAGATGTTGTTTGCTACTGGAAAGGGATCTTTAGTGAATGGTTTCTTTAAAAGTACATTTAAGTACATAAGGACTGCGCAAACCGATGACAAAAAATCATACTGCTACTTTTTAAAGACTATGGTTTTCTGCAGTTGGCCTGAAGGACGCGCACTTAAAAGGCGGCATCCCGGTGGGACTACTATATATTTAAGAATTAGGCTAGATAAACAATACTGCAATCGCACCTACGTAAGCCCTCCTAATTTAAAACCCGTTGTTTTCGGAATTGCGTTAACACTTCTTCTGATACGCCACCTACGGTTAGCATTGACTCTGCCTGTGAAATCTCGCCTACCTTGCGCGCGTTGCTGCGTTTGGCCACTCTCCAGTGGTGCTTTGACGATTGGATTTGCAAGCTAAACTGCAAGATAAGCGAACAACCATCGACTCATGATGCCCACTGGATGTTTCACAGCAGAGTAAGCGTAGGGCGGTGATCTCTGCGTGTGTGTGTGCCTTCCCTGCTGTGCGGGTTCGACTACCGCCGACGCCGCGAGTTTTTTTTACAATTGGGTCAACTAAATTTACAATGAGGCAGACTTGCGCTGCACCTACCACGCAC